CCTGGTGAGCAAGCTCGGGAACACATGAGGCGCCCGATAGGATGTTGAGACTTGACCAGCGCTCGTTATCACAAACGCAGATACATCCCCCGTCGCCATCTTGCGCGGGAACCCCGGTGCCGCCCCAGAGAAACGTGCGGCAGTTCTGCTTACACATCTGACCTACTACCTACTACAAGTACCTCTTTTTGCGGCGTGGTCAGCAAAATGCACACCGCAGTATAAGACTACATGTACATGCATGTCATGGTTTTCAGGCAAACAGACTGTAAACTGTTGTCTATATGTTGTATATTTTGTCTTTTTGTTAAGTGAACGATGGGATTGATCGCTTCCTTGACAGCTTGTCAACGTGTCTGTCTATTCGGGAATCTAATTTTGAATCTAGTGTGCGCAGAGGGATTTTTTGGTTGTGACTGGTGTGACTCTAGAGGCTGTTCATACAGAGTAGTACATTCAGTACGGTATTCCTGTACAGTAGTCTGCCGGGGTGTACCCTCAATAGCGGAATGCCCTCAATAGCGGCACCGAAATCCGCTTTGCACAAAGGCATTGTTCAGTACAATCCCTGGTAGGAGCGGCACTGCCCTCAATAGCGGCACCAAAACCTCTCGTCACTACCTACACCGCTATTGAGGACCGCCGACGGTATGCGAATCGACGAATCGACACTTGTTTCACCGCACGAAACGGTTTTTTTTTGGCGGGTCCACCCAGAGACCCAAAGCGCCACCCACGATTCCTTCGCATGCTACACAGCAGAGTAGAGTGGTAGACCACGAGGTGAGCACTTCATAGCTCCTCAAAAGGTTTGTGCACGTGCCTCTCTTCGCAGAAACCGTTGCTGCTAGTATTATTCCGTGCGGCTCAAGGATAAATTATACGAGTTCTTTGGGTTGTATCGAGATTGGTACCGTTGCCCAGGAGTATGTGTTGCTGTAGACTTTCTTCCCTAATTCAGCACCTTCACCGAGGCCTATTGACCTATTGATGGCATATTTATGCTAATAAGGTGAATACCTCGGTCACACAGTCCGCAAGGTCTTCTTATTCGACCACTCTTTGTACCCCTAACCTGACGCGATTGACGTCTCTATTTCTTGGTGGTGGTGGTGGTGGTCGTGGTCGTGTTGATCTGCTGTTGTTGCATCTCACTTTTGCTCCCTAGACTGTACAAAAAATAATAATAAGTCACAAAAGACATAGATAGCATGTAAGCTCGCGGCATAACCTTTTCCGCGGACAGACGAAGAAGAGGAGGCACCCCACTTGGAAGAAATAACAACAACCTGTTGTGACCAAACCCATCAAATCAAGGTACAGGGACCATCAACACCAGGCAGGGACCAAGAACTACATGATGTATGTACGTATGTATGTATGTATGTATGTAGTTGTAAGAAAAATGCAACGTGTACGCCGGCAGTAGGCCCAGGAGGTGTGTTGGGGCAGGGTTTACCGTATAAGGTAGTCTACGAGGCAGTCTAAACTATTCGATTCTAAACCAAACTAACCGACAACAACTAACTGTGAGAGAGAGGCCGGCGAGTAAACTCCGCCAATCAAGGAAGGAATCAATCGTAGAAGCATTGTGTGCAAGTCGTTTCGCATCATCGTCCGCGCTCCTCGCGGATGGCTGTTCTGGCGGGTCCCCCTCCCGCAGTGTCGTCTTGTCGTCTTCCCTCCCTCCTTCTCTACGCCGTTTCTCCTCCTACATTCGATTGATTGGGTACGTTCGCTTCCTCTGCTTTTGCGCCCCCGTCGCCTTCTCCCGCACGCCCTTCGTTCTGGCGACGGTTGGCCGGATGAGCGCTGCGACATAACAGCGCCGGGGAGGTTCCCTGCATGCCGCTTGTTGTGCCGAGTCTAGAGCTCGGGGTTGATTGGATGAGGCTTCGTGCCCCCGAGGCTGGAGGTCCTCGCCCCTGGGTATATCGCCGCGGCGTGAAACGTTTACCCCGCGGCGACATGCCTAGGCAAATTATCACTGCGGTAAAAAATATGAACTTCAGGAAACTGGTTGGGCGGGCGGATGGTCGTTAGAGTCCTGTCCTCTAGCAACTAGGGGGGCTCGCAGCTGGTAATGTTTCGTGCCGGAGCTGGTTCTATCTGATTGGCTCCCAACTATACTATGGAATTCCATGGACTTCCATGAAATGTATCACGGATGTCCATGAGCGCCCGTGAATTTTTTCATTTAAGTGTGTGAAACGTTTCATGGAAGTCCATGAAATGTTCATGGGCGTTCATGGGCTTGCAGACACATTTCATGGAAGTCCATGGTATTCCATGGACTTCCACGGACTTCCATGGAAGTCCATGGGAGTGCATGGAAGTGTTTCATGAACATCATGACTCCTGCAGGATGCCCACGGATTTCGTTTGTCGAACACCATTTCGGCTTCGTGGGAAGATGACGCGGACGTCCGTGGAATTTTTCATGGGATGCCGCCATAAATCGTTTTATTGAGTTCCATGAAACGCTTCCATGGACTTCAACTACACTTTTGACCACTTCCATGGACTTCCATGGAAGATTCCATGAAATATTCCATGAAAAAGTACTGTAATGTACATGACTGCGTTGCCCAGCGCCGCCAGATGATGATCATCGCGGTCCACAGGTAAAACTTGGTCCAACTTAATAGCTTCATAGAGGCAAAATGGTTCGCCATGGGTGGTTGGCGTGCAGATTGCCAGGTTTGTGAGGTGACGCTCTAAGTCGAATACGAGCATTTTGCCGTCGGGCAGGAAGGAGGTAGTAGCGATGCGAGGTTTTTGCCTGTCCCCTGCTGAGCAATCTGTCACGACGAGCACGGAAGTGATATAATCTTCCGAAGATCCAAACTTCCGAAATACACACAAAGTACTGCATACTGTAGAGTTACAATTTGTTGTACTGTAGTAGCAGTACATGCATGCAGGGTTTTCGGTGCCGGTGCCACGCACAATGCAGCGAGTTGGATCCTTGATACTGGCAAATGTTTCTGGTGTGCAGACGTGCTTGAGGAGGCGCGATGAGGCACAGAAGCTTGCTTTGTTAGGGTTGGTGCAACAAATATTATGTGTACCCAGCGCCATGACGAATTCAATTGAGCGAATACGATCGTGGAGGACTTACGCAGGATATAATTCCAGACGAGCTGCACCATAAATTCCGTTGGCAATGCAGCTTGCCTCAGGCAAGCATGCTACATATTCCTCTAAGAGATATCCGTTGTTGGTTTACAGCGGTGCCCTTGTTGTTATGATGCGGGATGGTGCGTGACCAACGGTGTTGTCATGAAACCACATGTAATCGCGGAACTAGACCATCCGGCTAGTCAGCGCTGACTAGCCGGATGGTCTAGTTCCGCGATTAAAAGATATGCGCTGAGGTTGACTGTCCTGATGGTCTAGTTCCGCGATTAAAGGATTCCCGCACGAAGTTCGAATACCGGCCGGATCACTTTTCTTTGCGTAGAATTACCATTGACAGAGCAGCAGCGTTTGGCGAGGGGTTCTTCCCCGGAGATCTCTACGCTCAATCCCAGCGATTAAGCTTCTAACAGCCTCAAGCCCATGTGATCCGGCCGGGTGCTAACGAGCTCAGCGCATATCTTTTAATCGCGGAACTAGACCATCAGGACAGTCAGCGCTGAGCTAGCCGGATGGTCTAGTTCCGCGATTAACATGCACGGACGGACGGAGATCATCTCGTGTACTGCTGGAACTTTGATCTGATTTAGATACGAACACAGAAGAGACAAACAATCTGAGTAGACAACAGTTTTTTTCCCTGGTTGCGCACCCTCCAGCTCGTTCGATGTCGCAGGATAAGCATATCATAGCTAATGGAAGGCGTTTGGTGTCGTTCGTCCGGGGGTGGGTGCGCGGAGCAGGGACAGAAGGTGATTTTGCATGAATTCCGAACGGGTCCTCAACGCCTTCGTACGTCACACAACCCACGCTGCTGCTGTGTCACGCTAACCAACCGCGACGGCCTAACCCTGCCGTACAGCACACCACAGGGATAATGCTATCATTCTTGACGGTAGTGTCGAAAGAAAGTCACAGCCATCCCAATCATTTGCGTGCTGGATTATCATCACCACCCACAATCTCAAGGAGATTGGCCAGCTGAATTGCAGAGTTTCGATTAGTATAGGTGTGTCGCTCGCCGTGTGGTCTAAGCAGCGTCGTCTAAATAGGTGGGCAATCCTCGCCAACCCTTATGGCAGTGACGCATGGTTCGTGCTGAAGTCTGTTCCTGCCGGTCTCACCCAGTGGGTGTTCAGCAACTACCCGTTGAACTTTTCCCTGTATCGTGAAGCACGGAAGATGACATGATGGGTGCCAGGTATATCAAGGTCGCGGTGGTGTCGTCGCCGTTGGGAAGGTGATCTGCCCTTGAGAACGCGAGATGGACCTCCGGCATTGCCGACGACCCTCGTCTCCGAGATCCGGCAGGCGTTCCGACGAATAACATCCACAACACCGCCATTGTCGTGCGATCGACATTTATGAAGCCGCACGAAAACCGGGAGGCTAACGACCAAACAGTAAACTCCCTTCAATGCTCACTCCGCGTACGAACGTGCACGCGGGGGTTGCAAACCCTCGGCGCCCGTAATAAGGCTCATACGAATGTACCCGGAACAACGAAGTTTTGTCCAGAAGCACAGCTCAGGGGTAGATCCTACACTAACGTGTACCATGTGCTGGACGACGGTGACGACATACTGAAGACACTGACAATCCCAATCTGTGGACGACAGCTGCTGATGTGACCCTAAGGTTCGCTGGTGGTGATGGCGCTGACTCTGACTCTGAAGATAGCGGGGAAAATTTGGAGGGCTTGGTGCGCTACGCATATTGTTGAGCTTGGCCGGGTACGCTACGTACTTCAAACCGCTGTACGACACCGCGCGGGTCCATACATCCCGGACGGTAACCTTAAAATCGTCTACAGGAATGGACCCCAGAAATCCCCGGAAAAAATTCAATCTTTGTACCGTCTGCTATGGATGATCATACGACGGCCTTAGCAAAAAAAAAGCTGTCGACCAGGTGACGAGGGACGTCATCAGCACAAGCCCAACCGATGACAGAGGCATCCCAAAACCTGCCATGCCACGCAGTGGGGCCAATCGGTTGGCGGCGTCACAGCCGCATCTCTCCGTGGCGATCTTGATCTGTGCCTTGACCTGTGGCGTGGACAAGACAACGCGGGCAATAGTCGATGTTCCAGTTCTGCACAATATCGCTGGCACATGAGACATTCTGTAGCAACGCCCAGGATCCTTTACGACGTGCCTACGTCTATCCCCCCACTGTTGGCACGTCGGGCGCATGGGAGCACTACGCGACTCGAAAACAAGCAACTCTGTGTTCCGCAATGGAAGCCTTTGGCTATTCTGGCTCTCCTTGAAGAAAACCTCTTTTGACGGGTTCACCGGAAACCTTGCATCCACCAACGTTGTCGAGAACCACGCGAAACAGCCGGGCTCCGCGGTGAATCCAGCAAAACGACCGCATGCGTGTACATACTGACGCTATACCAGCTCAACGGGTTGACGTGTCTTGTAAGGTTTGACGTGCGCAACCTGCTGCGGGTAGCAAGCGACTACGGATGGTGGGCGACCACATGAACCGCTGCTAACCTTGTCCGACCATTCTCCCTCGATGGCATTGTCCGGGTCAAAGTAGAGCCCGTCCGGCGTCGTCACACCGTCACAGTCGGCGTAAAAGTTGTCCATGAGCGCTTGGCATCCGGGAGGGCACACCTGCCGACAGAGGGCAAAAGAGGAAAAGACATCGCTTTACTCAACTGGACACCATTTCTGCTTGTTCTCTCCACGCAGGTCGGTGGCTCCCGCCGTGCAGGATTACGTTGCAGGCGAGATTTGAGCGTTCGTGAAGGTGGGCAAGAAAGCCATCACATCGACGGAGACTACCAGCGTTCGAGGTCGTTGACGCCCTTAGACATTCCCGCGCGATTGTTCAAGCGAGGAGTGACGATAAGCGTTTCTCTCGACCAGGCCAGGCAACAACGCTCTTGGACCCACAGGCGTGAATGTAGCCCGTACGGTTACATGTCGTCCATCGTATTCTGCCAGCCCGGCTGGGTCGATCAACATCATCCGTACCCCCACCCGTATGAGCACACGTGTTTCGTAGGCACTCTGTCCGTGATAAAGATACGTACAAGACGGGCGACAAACAGCAAACCCTTGTAGGTACGTTGTTGAGAGGTTGAAGATTGCCCAATCCTCTAAATTGGGCACAAGCCCAAGACTTTGCTCGACGTTGAAGAAGCCTGAACGAGCATTGCCGGGCTTGTATTTAGTGTTAGATTACTTTGTTTGCCGGATCGCATTGCATGCAAGCGCCGTCGTTCCCAAGAGACGTCGTCTTTGCCGCGACCAGCCCTGCCACTTCCATGCACGCCTGAGGGGTTTCCAGACGGCAGGGGTCATGAAGGCCAGAAACAAAGAGTCGAGACGAGCTAGGATTATCTGTCACGAAGTCGAATCGTTGCCACGGGACAAAGTGGCGCTCCAGTCATGACGACAGGGAAAATTATCGACGGCGACGGCATCAGTTGGGGGCATGCGAGGAACTAATCCATGGAATTTAGCCACGCGTGTCGAGCTTCTCTTCGTTTGCTGCATCCATAGCCCAGCTCCGAGAACTCATTGTGCGGGAGTAACTGCGTTTCCGTCTTACAGGGAGGACGCCGGATGCTCACCCCCACCCTCGCTTGCCGAAGAAGCTTGCCTTTGAGCTTAGGGAAGGTTTCAAGTACTCCGTCGAAAGGTCGGCTCCTTGTGCTGGCAAGATGGTGATGACGAGGGCCGCAATAGCCGCAGAAATACTCCTTGGGGCCGACAGCGATGGCTGTGTTCGCCACCGTCTCAATGAAGAATAGCGTCGGTGGCCTCCCAGAGATGTAGGTTTCAGCGTTCTGACACCAAGGCATCGTACATGGAGGCGACTTGTAGAAGTTGCTTCGCCATCAACACTACGCTGTGAGCGGATCATGCAGGGGCTGTTAGCTGTCCATCCCAGTTCGTGGAGCGAGATCGAGCGTAGCGTTGATCGGCTTTTCTTGCTGCTGTGATCTGTCGCTGGTCGCCTCCTGGACTCTCCGATGACCCTGCCGCATGGCAAATATTCTTGCGGGTGTTGCCTGGTCATGAACGGAGTCCTCGGAAACTCGTGCTCTGCAGCAGATCAAGTTTGAGAGTAGCAGGCGAAACGATGAATTGAGTTTTGTTTATTGTTGTTGTTTTGCTAATGTTGGTATTGTTCGGCCGTCGCCTCAAATCTGTGCGATCCCTGCTCAAAACCGCCTAGCATCCGCGCTGATCCAACTCACGCGAACGATTTCCGTGGTCACAGGTCATTTACGTACTCCCGTTCGTACTGGACGTACGCTTACATCGCCTATCTCGACGAAGATGGACGCTACGAACCTAGTTTCGGTACCTACAATGCGCCGCACACAATCCAAACGCGCTCGGGTACCACAAACAGCGCGGCGTGTGGTCGCTGGTCTGATGTCTATGCGGGAGCACGACAAAGCTTGCAAGTTTGGGCCTCATGCTTCGCACACAAACATCCGAGATATAGGGTCAATGCAGGACCTTGCCTTTCCAGGCACAGGGGAAACATAGCGCGGCGGGAGAGGCTTTTTTTTGTGGACATTGTGCACCTGCCGGTCGATCCATCGCCAGCGTAGTGCATCGTGATTCTACTATGCGCTCGCTCTTTCTCTCTTTTCACGCGCTGTTTCCTCGATTGTCGTTCTCAAAGGTTATTTTCCAACGTGCGGCCTTTAGTTCTTAAACACAGGGCGTAACTTCATGGCACCTCAGCTCGAAATATTCCTAACTGTAGCTGCAGGACCGGTGAATTTGGCTTTATTCTAGTTGTTTGCTTGGCTCGAGGGTCTAACGCCTCGACCTGGTCGCGAAGAAAGTGGGCCTGAATCTGCTGAGAGATGCACAAGCTTCTGAAGGAGGCACGTTCCTCGTGGACTTTCTAACCTTGAATGTTGACTTCATGGTAGGGCGTCGTGTTTAGGCCGTTCCACATAGCCATCGTGAGTCATTATCATAATCCGAAGCAGGCTTTTGATCGAAGAGAGATGGCACCCGCAAAAAAGCAACACGTATGCGCCAGTGAAAAACCAGAAAGAAAATAAGCCAGCAGACAGTCAGAAATACGCAGGCGACCTTTTGCGCGTGTCCGGTAGTATCTTGCGGGTCTTTGAGCTGCAAGAGTATGGCGGCAATAAATGCAGGTGTTTATGTGTGTGCTTTCGTCCTATTTATTTTGCCCGCAGCCCCCCCATTTTTCGTAGTGAGACGTGTATTACAACACTACACGGTTTTAACATGTACTCACACAATCAGTATACATAAGATAACACCCAACAATAGTAGGCACCACCTCACCACAGAAGCTGCACTGATAAAGCCTGCCGGCATGTCCACAGCCGGTACCAATACAATACCACACCCGGTGTGAGACTAACGTTGCGGGAGGGCACTCAACATGGGTCAAGACGCAGAAGCAGTTCAAGACCAAGTATAATAGCATCACCGACGATGCGGCGTCCTACAGAATAACACCCCCCCTGGTATATTCACTGATGGAGAAAAACTTGTCACCACGGGTGTGTTATCATTTGTGGAATTGAATGTGTTCGACGTTGTCACCCTACTGTAGGCGATACCCCCCCTGTTTCTCGCTAGTCACTTGCACGATGGCGGGGCAAAACGCATGCTTTGGATTCAGCAGCGCTGGTCCTGAGGACGTCGAGGAAATAGGTAAAGGGACTTGTGCTGTCCAATGTACGGTATGTACTGCTGTTGAGTGTAGAGTGTGCTGCTCGAGGATCCTTGAGAGACACAAAGATCCAACTGACGGTCGTTCGCATTGTAGTACTATACTGTTGTGATGTACGCACGTTGTCTACTGTGCTTCAAGTCTTCTTTGTTCACCCGACATAATGATGCCGAGATTTCTTAATCGTGGGGGTTGTACCGGCCATCCTCACAACGATGTTCTGCGGGACTACCCGTATCACGGCACCGTCATGCTCGACAGGAAAACTCAAGTCGTATCAACGCGGATTGCGATTCAAAACTCCTGCTGTCACATGACACAGCCTGAAGTCGATTTGCTCACCCCTCCGTCGCTTGTTGTGTTCTCACCTTCGAGGAGAGATAAAGACCGTCAACGACTCGATGACTGCTCTGTGGTATGGCGCCTGTATGGCACATGCCCATTTATGTTGCTACATCGCCTTTGGAAAAAGTTCCTCTTCGACCAAGGTGCCTCTTCGGTTTCAATTCCGGCTGACTCTTTATCTCGCCGCTTCATCACGCTCGCGCTGGCGCAGTGGCAGGGCGTTCACTCACGCACGCGTTGACACCCTCCCGAGCCTGCGAAAGAAAGGTATGTCCGCCAACCTAGGCTCGATAAAAATCAATCATGGTTGGGGGCAGGCCTGTACCATCGGAGGTCGTGCCTGGCCTCTCTGTAAAGTATGCATAGACTATACAAGGGACCTGGAACAGTTCAGGGCTACACATCGTCTACTGGTGTACTACTGTACGTATGTACAAGCACGGTGTGCAATTTCGAGGGGTTGGGTCAGGCCAGCCAGACGCCCTTCTCTACTGCCACACGCAGCAATCATCTACCACGTTTTAGGCGGGCACGCCAATGGTGGCTTCGTGAGCGGCCTAAAGCTGATCGACTCAGCTGGCCAGCGACAATAATTGGTGGTGAATTTGTCCCGTGGGACGGCTGTGTATAGTGCTGTAAGCCGCCAACCTTACAGTAGTTTGCGTAGGCCATCCGGCCGTTGTGCTTACGGGCTGACACAGGTATTACAGCCTAGTATCCTTCGCAACGATATGATGTTTTGGGTTAAGTAGGGTTACGGATGTGGGGGTTAGGGTTATTAGGGTATGTTGGGTCAGTCTAAACCCTCCACACATACTGTAGTTTAGATGAACAACCCGGTCCTGGTCTACAGTAGAAAACATGAGGGGTTATGGAGTCAAGCTGTGCGTCTTCTCTCCGTCAAAGACGCGGACCCCGCAGTATTTCCTGAAAACATAGACCCGGTGCATGCTACCGCATGCGTTCGGGAGTATCTTCAGTCAGGGACATATCCTCATTTTCTGATTCAGGTTCGGGGCATATCCGGGTCCTGGTTGTAGAAGGAAGCGCCGGAATACTGCCAGTTGGCATCGAAAATCGTTTCCGGGCATTCGAATTGCTGGCGCTCCGATAATTGCATACTTTCCTGAAGCACCAACAACTCCAACGGCCATTCCCTTAGTTTATTTTGGACCGCTCACAATCTTAACATTGGTGCATCATGGGAAGGCCACGATTTTGCACGAACGGGACTACAGCCGACATCCATGGAGAGCCACATCAAGTCCGTGCTTAACTTCGAGCATGATGGAAACGCGGAGCATATCAGCAGCCCGAGATCGCTCGAGGCCTGCCTTAGGTCGGGTTGCGACCCCCAGGACCTGATGCCAAGGCGAGAAGCACGAGCTAGCTCAACCTTTGCCCCATAGGTTTCGTTGTGGACACAGAGATCAATAGAATGAAGCTGAAGTCGCCTACCGGTTCGCTCGTTGCAGAGAGAAAGAGATACCCTCGGATTTCCGTGCTCAGACACATTTTTCTTGGCGTATCAAATGACGGCGATATCAACAACACCAGCAGTACCCGCGGCTCTAGCCCGAAACAGAGACACGAAGCGATATCACCATCACCATGATACTGTAACAACAACTACAACAACGGCAGCCGCGACAACCTCAACATACCACCCAAATACGTTTCATCACACTCGGCAAATCCTTTCTCGGGGATCTTCGTTCAACCCACAGGAGCTCCAAGACCTTCGCCGTGAAAGGGGAGCTGCCAGAGCTGACGGAAATCCGACACAACTTCTTCGAGGCTCGTCGAAAAGGTCTTGCGTGGGTTGTCAGTCGCCGTTGTCGTCGATGCTGCTGCTGCTGGTGGTGTTGTCGTTGGTGGTTTCGCCTTCGCCTTCTGCTGCTGCCATTATTGTTGTTGTTGGTTTGTTTTTGTAGATGCTCTTTGTTAGGTTGCTTCGGCTTTTGGTTGGTTTCGCGGGCAATGCCTCTGTCGGCGTGTTCTCGCCCACAGCGGGGAGCGAACACCCGCCATCGTTTGCACGAGCTGGCAAACAAAACGGATGCTGAAACAGGGAATAAACCTGAAGTACATCTCGGCATCGAACCAAATAAGACACTCAGAGAAGAATTAGATGTCTGCTTAGTCAACTCTTTGCCTACTTCCTGACGGAGGTGTTCAGACTTTGCGGAATTTGATTTGTGTTTCTCTTTGTTTCACCTCAGAAAAAATCGCCATGGTGAAGAAGGAGCGACAGTCCATCATCAACTTTCTATCGTCGAAGGAACAATCTGGTCTGCCCGCCCTCGGCAAGGTGCTACGGACTTTGCGATTTCTTTTTCCGACCGCTTTCAAAACGTCTGTCCTACGACGTCTGTCATTTCTTCCATGCCTTAATTTGTGTGTCCTCCCTTTGCTGCTTTGTGCACACATTTCTCTTTCATACTGGATCGATCTCCCTCAATTTCAAAACCGAGTGATGTCGCCAAGCATGAATGCAACAGATCTACCTGCATTTCAAACCGATGGATGTCGCCAAACATGAATGAAATAACAGGGAATATATTCAGCGGTCAGAAATAAGGTCTCCTCTAGAGTATACGGCCGTTCTGACCTTGCTACGTAGTGCCTCCACAAACCCGCGCCCGTCCCGACGGCATCGAATGAAAGACGTCTTCGGGGTAGATGTCGGCAACCAGTTCTCTAGGGTACAAGTGCATTTATTCATTCATTGTCGGACCAGGTAGCCTCAGGCTGGCACGTGAATCGACTCATCATGTCTTTTTCGTCCTCGGCCAGCCGTCAAGCGCGACAGGTGGAAGGCACTGTACCGGCGCTCACACTGGGCACAAACTACTTTGGGCTTACTCAAACCATGCCTTTCTACCCCGTTTCCGCGCGACCTGCCGTCAGAGTGGGAGTGGTCTATTGGCTGGGGCCACGGCTGCAAGCGCAACAGATGTGGAGTTGGAAGCGAGGAGAATCAAAGCCGGCATCCTCGAAATCGTGAGTGTCGATGAGACATAAAGCGCGTTTACTCCGATATATATCATGTTGAGAACCCGTTTATTTCCGCCGTGAGAAACCAGTATGGTTGACCCTATTGAATAACTCCTTGGTAGTCGTAATTTGATTCCGAGCACGTTTCTCTGTTCAAACGTCACCTACAACCCTTTCCACCACCACCACCACCGCCGCCGCTACAGGAGCGAAAGAGGGGGCTAGTGATCGCCGAGCGCCAGGAGAAAGAAATGCAGAGGGTCGTGGAGAACGAGCAGAGAATGGCCGACCTGCACAAGAAGATACTCAGAGTGGAAGAGGTATGACTCTGCGAACGAACGCGTGATAGCTACGGCCCTGCGATCCATGATGCTGTTCACGGCGAGTTCTGTACATTGTAGGGGTTGGCGTGCGCTGGTGTTGCACAAACAGCTATTGATTTCGATGTAATTGTTGGTGTTCATGGCGTTCCCGCTGAGGTGCACGTGGTGAGAGGCAAGAATCCTTCTCTGGGATTGCCCTAGAAAGCGGTGGGTTAGAGCGAAGACGTGGCGGTTTTGCGGTATCTTCGTGAGTGACTCGTTCGACAAGGAGTGTGTTGTGGTACGAATATGGATGAAATCACCCAAAATTTGTTGATAATCAACATTTCATGACCCACAACCCCCCCCAGAAGATTGCGGCTGAATCACCCCCTTGGATTTAAAGTGATTGACCTGCGTCTGGGTTGGTGTTGGCCCGCATCAGGCGGACGCAAAGCGGAGGGCGGAGCACGACCAGAGGGTGGCGCAGCAGCGGGCGGCGGCGGCGGAAAAGAGGGCCAAGAAGGAGATGGAGAAGCACGAGAGGGAGAAAATGGAAGACGAACAAAGGCGCGTGGGAGAGTGATAAATGTGTACTTTCAGTTAGCACCCATTTCTTCTACACTGCGGTTGGTGCTCTTAATTTTGAGACAATCAACCGCCCACAACGACGAAAGTGCTTGTTTTAGTGCGCAATGTTGGACGCTCTCGTATACGACGGCAGCAGTGTCGATCGTTCCAGCAATGCTTCTACTGATGATGATGATGATGATGATGGCGGTTGTCTTGGGGCAAAAGATGGACAGAGTGGTAACATTGGAGTTTATGGTTCTAGGTGAACACTTCCAACGTTGTCCCCACAACCGAACTTCACACGGGGGTTGGGCCATCAGGAAGGAGATGATCAAACGTGCGGCAGAGGCGGAAGCCCGACAACTGAAGATCGAAAAGGAGCTGGAGGAGCAACGGATCGCCGAGGCCGCCAAGCGTGAGGAGGAGCGGTAAGATGCACCGTAAAAAGGGTAGGGAGTTTTTCTGTTCAGCAAACGCACGGTGAAGTGTCTTGCCTCCACGTCCATCAAACATTGAAGAAGTGCAAACATTTTCGCGTTTTTGTTTATCGAACGTCGTTCGCTAACATGTCTCATCCCCTCACCAGGTTTCATTCGCTGGTCAAAGTGTCGGCTTGGTCAGCTTGTGCTGGCTGCAGGCCGGTACAACTTTTCCCATTTGCTGCCTAGCTCACTTTGCGCCGAAGTCCCTCGTTTTCCATTCCGTTGAAGTTGTTTCGCCTTGCCCAATGATGTGGCCAGCCCACCGCCTCAATTGTTCAAGCTAGGAGAAACCGCTCGAACTGGTAGTAAGACCCGTGCATGGAGTCAATCCTCCAGCTCTCTGCTCTGGCATCCTAGTGCCCACAGAATGTGCCCTTTGTTTTTTTCCGTCGAGCCAGGCGCGCCTTGAAGGAACAACAGGATCAGGCGACGGCCGCGCTGATCCGGGCCCAGGAGGAGAAGGCCGAGGAGAAGAATAGGATCATGGCCGAGCGGGAGGTCCGTCGGTTGGTCGTCTGAGTTCCCCCCTCTGTTGTAAATAGAAGTTCGAATTGTCAGAGAGAGGTAATGACGAGCAGGAGGAATATGTGTCATAGATTGGTGCGACGCGGGTCATGCCTGCAAACCTTGTCGTCGACAGTGGTAGGGGCCCAGCCAGTTCTTTATCAAATCGCTTGAAGACTAGGTGCCAAACTGGGTCAGCTACTTAATTACTGTACGGCTTGAAGCCAGATATTTGGACCCTGTGCGTGTCGCTGTCTGCAGTGCCTCGTCGAAACGTTGTACCATACTCTCTGCCAATATCTCGGTCTCCGTCTTTCTCTGTCTCTCTCTGTCCCTCTCTCTATGTCGTCTTAGCCACAGCCATGGTTCCAGTCCATGTCATCACTGACCGAACGATGTTGCCTCGATTGTGTTATCCTTTCTGGCGAGTGGCCGCTGTTTGGACGTACCTCGTGTTTGCTGATGTTACGACCACGATGATGTCGGGTCAGGCACGGGTGCAAGCCCAGCTAGACGAGAAAAAGGCGGCAAAGGCGGCCGAGGTGGCGGCTCAGAGGGCGTCTGCCGAGCAACGCATTCAGGTTTCTGTCTGTCTGTCTGTGTGTCTCTCTGTCTGTCTCTCTTTCTGGGTGCGTCTTTCTCTCCTCAACGCAGCGCATGCTGTGCACCATACGAGGTATCCTTCTGTATTGTGAAGGTTACTGGCACTTTGGCTGAGCTCTTGCCCAACACTGTTCGCGGCATATTGACAACCAGAACAACAAGAACGGCCTACCAGGTTGCTCACTTTAACCATACAATACGGTGCACTGAACCGCAGGAAGTCATGGAGAAGAACAGGAAGATTCAGCAGGATAAGAAGATCGCCTACGACCTTAAGGTTGCCGAGGTACGATTGGGCACGTACGGAGAACTCAGGGAAAAAATGCGACCTAGCCAGAAAAGAAAGTCTTCTATTCGGGTTTGCGGCGTAAGTCTGTTCCCCTCCATATCTAATGCAGTGTTCCCCAATTCGGTAGACTAACCCGAGCAAACGTTGTTTTCGGCACAGCAGAGCGCCCGGCCCGCCACTCGAGACTGCCTCTCGGCGACAAGCAACAACTGTCAGGCTGCCAACGAGCAGTGTGCTCTCCTCCCTTCGTGCAGGTGGCTCGCCGCAAGGCGGAGAGGACGGAGGGGGACGAAGCCCAGGCGAAGAAGAGGGCTGAAGACCAGGCGAAGCAAGACAACATCCGGGCCAAGGTGTGGGAGTTTGTGGACGACGAGGGCAGGGTAGGAACGTTTGACGCACGGGAGGATCAGCATCGAAGGCATACATTGATCGTTAAGGCCTCGTTGTGGGCTTGTGGTGTTGCATTCGTTTGGTGCGGATTGATCGTTGTTGTGCGACGTCAGCCTGATCTGGCTGATCTGCTCGGCATTCCCTAACCTCCCCTTGGTTAACACTGCACGCTTTGTACGTACCCCTGGTTCTCCCCTTTGGTCCAGGCATGAAGGAGACACATATTAGAAATCAGAGAGAGAAACTCATAAAGAGAGACAGAGAGAGATGGAGATATATCGCGCCAGTGATGAATTTTTATTGCTAAAAAACCTTTTTCTCGTTCGTATTCGGGTGCTCTTTGTGGCTGGGGCATGTGCATCGCTTTGGCTCCACATCCTTATCTGTCTGCCGATTCTGTCTGCCTGGCTGTCCGATGCCCCCTCTCTTGCGCATCTTGCGTGCTTCCTACGGCAGAGGTTGGAAGCGAGCTACCAAGATCGCGCCGACCACCGGAAGGACATCCTAGCGCGCCGCCGCCAGAAAGACAAATTCTACGGCCAGGTATGCAGCGGAGGTTGATCGATGATGCATAAGACGGTATGAAAATTGGTAACGATTGAATGCGTTTGTGACGGACCTCAGAGCTTGTGTCTCTCATCACCCATGTGGCCGATGTGGAGACATTACCATTCAGACTTTCTGCTCAAACATTGGCGCGAAGCCGGCGAAGTTGAGCATACTGGAACAACAACTACAACAACAGCAGCAGCAAGCAATGCAACAGCATCATCAACGCCCGCCACATGCGCACTGCGCCACCTAGGCACCGTTCACATTTCCTACGGCAGTTACTTCCCTTGCCTTGGTGGAATCACGCGCCAAACGCGGCGTTGCGGCTTTGGCACTCTTCGTTATTCCATGCAAGTAGTGTGTTTTTCGAAAGTGTTTCGGTAGAGAATTTCGGACATTTTCTGCCACCCACCGTGGACCTGATTAAACATGGCTCGAAGTCTGAGGCTATGACGAACGTGTAGAAGCTGGCAGGATCCGTGCAAAAAAATGGAGACTACGGTCGTGCGTACGTCAAGTGACCGTATGTTGGAGGCAAGCAGGGTTGCTCTGTGAAATAATCAAGAACCGGGGAAGGCGTGAGTCTCTCCTTACATAGTGTGCGGATCAGCTTGGTTTCGAGCCTGCACAAGATCTCTCATACTAGAATGGAAAGCAAGACATTGTCGAAGGGAAGACCCTGCCCGAAAGTACTTGGGGGGCTACAGAGAGCTGCTATTCAAAAAATGTCGCCATGCCCGAGGTCACAGCTTCACGCCCCGAATACACAGACTTGGAACTGTGTTGTCTCCAAATATCGTTCTTTGAAATTTTATATTGAACACCACATAGAGCAGTGGAAGGTGAGGTAATCGGGAATGCATACCACGGCCACCTAACGTCCCCCATGACTGTCCTAACACTTTCGTTCCGGTGGACGCTGACACGCGTCACAACGGCGGTGTCTGAAGCACTAGCTTTTGAACCGAGACCTATGCTGCAGGCAACGTGTTAGTCTTCTTCGAGACGAGCGGATACAGAAGCGAAAAAGCTGCCAGGTCTGAATTACAAGTGTGCGTTATTTACGGCACCTCACTGGCGTGCAGATCCGGAACGAGAGATGCAAGGACCTAGCGATGAAGAAGCTGTACCACGACCTGGTGATGGAGGACAAGCGACAAAACATCGAAAGGCGCGTGTGATCACTGTCCCACAGTATTGTCACTCTTCCCACGAGGACTCCACGACTGTCTTGCAAGCAGCGCACGCAGCTCGCATGAAGTATTATTCCATCACCATCTCTATTGTGGACACGCTCTGGTCGGGTGACGTGTGGCATGTATGCTCGCCTGATAGGAAAATCGAAAGGGCCCGCCTTTGTGTCCCAGATGCTATCGATTTGGCGTGAAACTGCAGTTGTGGGTGACAGAGCGGATTCGAGGTATTCGGTTCACGAAAAGCCTACGCCGTGAGACATTTCCCGTATTCTGTGTGGGCTCCCTCCTGGTACGAAATCAAACATTAACCGCCAGGTACACAACCCTTCGCGGGATACCGAACCCTCGACCTTTCCCTTTCGCTGTCGCACTCACCGTGGATGCGGAAACGCGTCAACGTGTGGCTGATTTGACTTTGAGAAGTTCGTGTACGATTTAGCTTCAGCATGGTTTTCCCAGAGAACGCTTTCTCGCCCTACCCCTGCCTGTCCGTCTGTATCTCTCCCACACACGCGCTCTATTGATTTCCTGCCCAATCTGTCTGGAACCGTCCCACCCACTCAGGTTGCGTAGGGTAGACGAGTTCGTACGCCTCCAGACGCTATTGAGGATAGAGCAGGAGACAGAGCGGACAGAAAAAATAAAGGCCGAGCGGGAGTTCCTCGTGGAGCAGGTGAGAGGAGAGGCTTTGTCAGCCTTTCACCTAGGGATAAGAACGTGGAACTACTAGCGCTGACGTCGGGTTTTAGGGGAGGGGGGGTTAACGTGGAGGCCACACAGTCAGCGTGGTTTACGTGTTTTGTGGGTTGGTCGTAACGCACATCCCGGCATAACGGTTGTCAGCCCTGCAGCGACTGTATGTACGAGGGAATCAAAGCCGCACATGTTGGCGTGTATTCCGCTTGCATCGTGTGACGTGTCGATCCAGTCATTCGGTGTCCTCGCTCGTAAGCCTCATGACTCGGCTGATGTTTTCTCTGGTCAGCCTTCCTTTGCGCTCCTGGTCAAGCGTTCTGGGGCTGTTCACGTCATGCTTGAGCACCGATCGATATCGGTCAATGAGGAAAGCCTATCTGACTCGGTGCGCTCTTGGCCGAAAAAATGAAACCTCGAACAGTAACCACATTGCCTGCATTTTGCAGGTCTTGCTCTCCAAGGGCTCGGTCCTTCATGTCTTCGTTCGCTCTCTCTTTCGATAGCCTATTGGTATTTCGTCGAAGCCCACAAGAATACATGCATACACGTCGACCGGACACACTATCACAGCGCATCGCGGTAGCCAACAAGGCGATCAGGAAAAAGCACAAGATCAAGGAGGCCATGGAAAAGATGAGGGCAACCAACAACTTCCACGGCATCGACGCTCTACTGTGAGAACCGAACCCGCAGCAATATTGTGACTTGTGCTGTTGATGTTACAACCAGCATTGTTGAAAATTTGTGTGGTGATGATAATATTGGTATGTTGTTGTTTTTCATCAAATCCATACACTTTAAAGCGTCGTTCAAGCAACGAGTACTGCAGTTGTTTCACCGTGGCTCATTCATGTTTCAGCCAGATCTCCACACGATCTCTGTTGTGGTAGTAGAAGCGCGCCATTGGATATAAGTAACCGCTACCGGTACCGAAAACATAGTTGTTTCAGCAAGGCGGAACCAGGTCAAGCAAAGGACCTTGAAAAACTGTCCAGCTACACACTTTCCAAGTTCAGCTCGAGAACCCCTTGTTCCCAATCCGGAAGAGCTGGGTTAAAAATCTCCCAGTAGATATTTCTCGAGGCACGAGGTATTTGATGCAAGTTTCGCTGAGTGCTTCTGTGCAACATGGCGAATTTCGCAACTCCGATGTCGGGGTCAACCATTGCCACGCCAGTTCATTCTTTTTGTTTACTAGCAAGCCACGGCGTCGGTACCTATTTGACACGGGTACACGATCACACTGCATGTATCATTTCCTCACATTTCCATGCACAAACTGGCAATCGGCTATATACGTTCACAGACATACCTCCGATGGCACGCGCACAGTGCCAGCAACAGCAACAACATGTAGTTTGGACAGGGTTCATTCGGAGACCACAGGGTGAAACACGGACAAAATCTGCGCAAGGATATCGGCGGACCGAAATACAGTTAAACGAATCGAGACCTGACGCTTGTTGCTTCAAACGGATTGCAGAGACGGGCTGGACAAGCGCCGGCGCAAGTCGAAGGGGACTGCAGATACAGAGCCCGCCGCCGGTACTGCGGCGGCCGGGGCGACGGCCTCTAGCTAAATAGGGTTCGTGCTCTAGCATTGCGTGCCACGGCATGGGTCAAGGGTTGAGTGCCGATCGATCTGGTTACATTTTTTTGTAGTATTTTTTGTTCCGCCTTCTCTGTGTGTCAACCCCCATTTGGAGTTGTGGGTAGACTCAGCGAGCGAAGGCATTTATACATGGGATGGAATGGATAGTTGGCGGAGAAATCTTCTAGAATCTTCTTGCTTTCAGCATCTGCCTCCGTCCAAACCTCGTTTTGGTACCGGTGGTAGCGGCACCAAGCGCAAAGACAAGTATCCCGAATAGAACGGGAGCGAATTTGCACGGGAGAAGTAGCCACAAGTATCAACATCCTAGGCGAGGACGCTAGACTATCTGTGGCAGCACGCAACGGGACACGTGAGTGTCAGCGTGGCTGAAGTGCTCTTCTTTGTGTGCGAGAGGTTGGTGTGACGTGGACCCGAAAACAATTCCGTTCGGGAGGTGTTCGGGGAAGAAGTGAATGGACAACAATCCGGTGCTGCGTGCAACAGATGGTCCTACTTTGTAACGTTGTTGAGCGTTTGACAAGAAAATTGTCTTCCGTGGGCAGACTACGAGTACATATCTCTTCCTTCTTTTCGATCGAGTTGATTGGCGATGGATTTTCTTTCACCCGCGTTCGGGAACGGCACAAGCAATATTCACCCCAGAGAAACGAAAACAAGGCCGAAAACGACAGACATCTCAAGTGGAGTGAAGAACTCGTGGGGCCAAGCAACCTCGTGAGAGTGAGCAGAAATACCGGCTTTGAGGTCGCATGCACATTATTCGTCCTACGAATCAGCGACAGTTTTGCCTTGATTGTAAACGGACGAACCCGCTCGATCGCAGTCTAGGTAGTCCCACTAATGGTGACATGCGACGGCCCAAAGGCCGCCTGTTTACCGCCCACGGAACGACGTGTTCGAAGCTATGGTGCATGGGCTGCCCATGGGCCACCCGTGGGTTCCTACGACACATGTCCCACCCGCGGGTCGACGAGGGGCCGTGTTTATCTTGCTACGACCCATAGCCACCCCTGGGCAGAGCGATGTCGATGACCACCCTATGATTGTCAATCCGTTTGCTAAAGGGCTGCGCAATGTCAATGACATGCCATGGGCCGTCCAAGACTTCGCCGAAAAGCCAAGGTAAACGCATGGTCATCTAAACGACGTCTGATGATGACCCCATGGCGAAGGCAAACGGGCGTCCCATGGTCATCTCATGATCATCCAAAATATACTTTCGAACTTTGCGCGCAAGGGTAGCTTCCTTGTGTATGCTTCCCGTCAGTCCCTCCGCCACTATGCTGCGGACCAACGTGTGTAGACGTCGGCGAGCTTCGTATGATATGCTTTCGATATAAAGCTGAGACCCACCATTCAATAACGCCATTCATTTACTCGCAAAGTAGGAACGACAGGCTTCGTACCGTACATATCTAGCTGCATGGCCTCTTCTCATATCTTACCGCATCTTCCCACATCTTCTCGCATCCAAATGACCGAAGGGTTAAAGATGGAGGGTTTGTCTACATGTCATCAATCCATATCATTGCCGATGTCGCGGCTGTACACAATAGTTGTTGGTTTTCGATACACATATGGAAGAACCGCATGCCCCGCCTAGAGCGTTGTGTTGGAGCCGAGGGCAGAAGCACAGGCGGCTGTGCGGCGGGGGCGAGAGAAGCAGTCGAGGTGACTGCCCAGCGTCTTCCGTCGTTCCTGACCCTCCCTTGGTGAAGCTGTCGTCGTCCTGGGCAGCCAAGTCCTGCTTGCCCACGCCCCACGTGTCAGACTAAGCGAGCCCGAGAAAAGGAAACAAAGGAGTGGGGGTCAACAAGCGGTTTAGGAGCAGGTTTTAATAGACCCTCCACCCACGGTAGCTAGCTACGGCAATCGCGATGCCAAATAAGCAGCAAGACATGAAGATAGGGCGTCAGCCAACAGTCAAACCCCGAAATACACCGAGGTTGAAGGAAAAACAACCCTGTCGATGCTGCACGAATCAGACGTCCGACGTACTGGATGCGGAAACTTTGCTGCCCGGTACATTTTTCCGCACCTGCACGTGGCCATCGCTCTTCGTTGCTGCGAAGAACGTTGAAACCTCTTCCCCATCCATGGGTCTGCGCCTTAGTGCCGCACGCATCAGTTGCGACACACACACAGCGCGCGAAGAGACATACCCACAAAATATCCTGACGGGTGAGTACCGGAAGCTCACCGGAGCCGGAAGTGACGGGGGCGATGCAGTTACGCGGTCACGCAGGACATGACCCCTTGAGGAACGACAAGACTTGTCCGAGCAAGGGAAACGCAGGCGGAACAAGAACAGTGTCCCATTCTGGCGGACGGTACCACGTCCGCCTCGAGGAGGTAATGAGCGACAGCAAAACTAGGGTGTCAAGGTCTCGTAGTACTAGGGGGCAAAATGGCATGCGTGCCGATCTGGGGGTCAGCCCCCGCCCCGTTGCACGTACGCTCGTGGCCCATGCGAGCACTCATTCCAGACAAGGGTTCTTTCACGCCAAGGAAAAGGCCGCTTGCATGTGCAGGTGCTCTGCAACGGGCTCATTCCTACCTCGGCTTTGACCGCTTCTCCCGCCGAATCTCCGCACACGTAGACGTGGCAGGTCGGGTTGCGAAGGAGTTCCCACACGCTGGCCTGCTGCCGGGAAATCAGGTCCTGTACATTCATCTGTCAACGGGCACAGGGAGGGGGGGGAGGTCGGGGGACATGCAATAGTAAGACAATGAATGCCGTGCGTTAGCTTACGAGCCTCACGCCAGGGTAGGAAAACCATTGACATGCTGCTCCATGGATGATGAAACAGCGTGAAATTGCGGGCGCGCTGAAGGCAACGCGAGCGACGGCGACGAAGAATTGCACGTGGGTGTGCACCACCCCAACAACACGGACGGTCATATCTCAAAGAGGCCAGGGCGAGCCACGTTGGGGCCCTCCCGCGACTTGGCCACGTGGAGTTCGGTCAACTCCCCATCCTCGAGCCACGTCTGCAGACGGTTAGCGTAGAGGATCTCGCTGGAATCGCGGCATCCGAAGTAGAAGAGGCAAGGCGCAAGGACCTTTCCTTGCCGTGACGCCTTAGCCCGGGCCTCAAGGAACCCCATGAGCGGACTGATGCCGCTGCCGGAGCCCACCTTCGCCAAGCAACCAGCGAGAACGCAGGACGTTGGGTGGACGGTGGATCGAGAAAGACAATCAGCAGTGCCAGGTTGGTCATTCGTATCGTGCCATAGTTGGTTTGGGTCCACCTCTCTTGAGCTTTCCCTCTTCGATTTTGGCCGGTTGAGAGAGTTTAGGGGAGGCATACTGGCGACCATTGATGTTTCCCACTCTTCGAATACTCCACCCACTGTCGGTGAAGACTTTCGTTTTTATCAGCTGGCGCTGGCACATGTTCGTCGATGAACTTGTCAGAAGTGTCGGTGCCAATTCAAGAAGCACACAATCACGGATACCGATGCTGTTGTTCGAGCGCCGCTTCACAGCATGATGACAGGAGAAGCCTCGAGGTGCGCCGGAGCCCTGAAGCTGGAAGGCCGGATTCTCAACCTCACCAGCTCTCCGGGCATGGTTCTGCTCAGGTGCTGCGAGCACAGGCCCTCCTTGATTGTGACTTGTTTCTCGTCGCACACCTCGAAATGTGGTCATGGACGTCCCATGATGCAAAGCAGCAGGGATATGGAGGTCCCCTTCGTCAGGTATCACCACGGCACGCGCTTACAATCATGAAGGCAAGCAGGTGTAGCGTGACAGCTCGGGTGTCGTACCCCCCTGAACTATGTGTGCACATAGCCGAGCTGGCCGACAGTCGAGGGTTGATCAAAGAAAATATGCGTTAGCAACCGTGATTTGTATAGTTTGAATGCATCATACTTTTATTTGTGCCCTCGACATTTTCTTTGGATGGTGTGTCGTGTGCATTCTCTGTACGACCGTCTCGGTTTCGTCATGATATATTCGACACCTCTTGAAAATAGCACGATAACTTGTGTTGTTTCCGTTGACGGATGTAGTCGCACCCGTCACCGCACCCGTCACGTACGGATAATAGCAATGAACCAACCGCATACGTATGATCCACGTCGCTACAGAAAACACATGTTGCCTAAAAACGAATGTCCGCAGACCATGAACAAGCTGAAAATTGATTTTACAATAACAGCAAGGAACCTCCCTCTCCTTTGCCTTGAGGACGGCGACCGTGAGCTGAACCGTTGTGGGGCGCACCTCCACCGCCGTAGCGATGGAGTAGTGCCGGGGCTTGATGAGAGGAAGGGCTAGGTCCTCGGCGGTCACGGCGGCGGACGGGAATTCCTGGATCTTCCCAGGTCGACATTGAAATAGTGAAAACGAAACGATTCGCAACACAGGCTAAGTTTCCCGTAGCATCGTTCCGATCCTTCGTCAACTATTGGTACAGTTAGGGAGAGGTCGTGTGCGAGGTGGCCTGTGTCACCAAGCAAGGTCCCTTGTCAACGTCAGTACCACCACCCGCGTTCACATTACCATCGACACGGCTTTGTCAACAGCTTAGCGATGAGTAAGACCCGAAGATCGCAATGCACTTCATATTGAAACCGACAACCCGCCCTTTCTCACTATGAGTAGGTGAACGGCACGGAACGTTGTAAAACGACCATCATTTCACTTGTATATTTTTGGGACGATGAAGGCAGCTTTTTCAAAGCGTGTTGATACTTTGGGCATACAAACACACAACTACCGACAACAAGCAATACTACTGCCCGCCCAACAGTAGGCCCCAAATATAAAAGCGTTGGTAAACCATGGGGAGCTTGAACTTTCCTCCTGCGGAAGGCAAACACCTGGTCTTGTGGCAAGGACTCAAAAGAGACCGACCGCAAGCACATAATTAATCAATACTCCGAGTAAATCGTTGCGTCGAAGTGGGAGAGAGATTATTCAATCTCCCCTTGTTGGCGTGCCCCCCACTCCGCCTTCGGCGACACGTGAATTATTTTCGTTTGTTTATCGTCGTAACCTTCCGCAGCGATACGGTTGTACCCTGTACGTGTGCTCAGTCTGTCGTATCCGTCTCTCCTCTCTGGAAAAGCCGGGATCATTACACAACAGGATTTTGTGTGTCGAACTCTTCGTTTGCGTCCATCACCTTAAACTAGTGCCGAACCAGTTCTTCCTTCGTCAACAACGCCATTCTTTTTGGGTAGAAATGCCATTCACCAAGGGTAGATACCATCATCACGGTGTAGAGGTTGGAGCGACTGAGACCAATCTCCAAGAATTGTCAGGTGTACCGTATGCCCTATCAGGATCAGAGCGCCAGTATTATCCCCCCAACACCTGAACTGTAACCTACAGCTCGATATCTTGTCCTTTCCAGCTCAATATCTCGTCTTGGTTGTTCGCTCATCTCAACGGGGTGAACTATCGTGGTTACCGTAGGGTCGGGCGACAACTATAGTACGCGAGCCGAACTATCACCATCTCGGTAACGGAGACACTACATGGACGCTTTGGGTGCTGCTAGTGCTGGACCCCCGCATATTCGGCTACTCGCTTGCTCAGTGTCACCTCTAGCATGTTGAGAAATTCCTGGGCCACCCGCAAAGATGGCAAGAGAGCATTGGTTCACAGAGGACGCGCGACGAAGAGCGATAGAGTGCGCAGACGTGCGACGAAGAGTGCGCGGACGTTAGCATGCTAGAACTATTGTCAAGACCTTTTCGGCATCATTATTAAAGCGACAAACCCGCACACGACGTGCAAACAGGCACTACGAGCGACACGATGACTCGACGAGACACGAGCGGATAAAACGAACGAGAGCCAACCGGGCTTCCCACATTATCGTGTAAATGGATTCACTGTTATCACAGTCAAATTCAGTGTTATTACAGTGAACTGTAACTCTTACAACGGTGAGGAGCACTCTTATGAAAGTGAGGAGCACTCTTATAACAGCGATAGAGACTTTCATAAGAGTGACGTCACTTGTATAAAAGTGATAGTCACTTTTTCAAAAATGATATTGACTGTATTAAACGTCACTCCCTCCCACAATGAGAGTGGAAGCCACACGCACTTTCACAGACACTCCTACAACAGTTAAATCACTATTACGGGAGTCATTTCACGGTATGAAAGTGAATGATACTTTTTTGAAAGTGACGTGCAAGTCACTTTCATAAAAGTGCAGAACTAGTCCACGATACTATCACGTCCGTGACTTTCGTCACTTTTACGAAAGTGAAGACAAGCGACGAACGAATTCTTTACTTTCATTAAAGTGCATGATCAGTGCACGGTACATATCACGTGCGTGACTTTCGTCACTTTTACGAAAGTTAAGACAAGTGACGAACGATTTCGTCACTTTCATTAAAGTGCATGATCAGTGCACGGTACATATCACGTTCGTGACTTTCGCCACCTTTACGCAAGTGACGTCATATGAACATAGGGTTGACTGCGTGTCCTTTGATGAAAGTTTTGCTTGTGTGCTGGCGCTAGGGCTAATGCTTAGCTCGCTGCCGACAATCTCCGAAGGCACCATTTGAAGTTGTTTTTGCTCTCGTGTTATTGTGGTCTCTGCGAGGGTGAAAGGGTCCCCACAATACCAGATGGTCATACCACTACCCCAACTGCGTATCCCCGAAATCCATCCCAGACCAGTATCTTTACCCACGTACCACAAACAGCCCCCTGTTTGGATAAAGGTACTGTCGTCCAAGCGAATCACATGATGTACCGTTCCAGGAACGGCAACTTGAAACATACAAAAATATACCATCAAAGATATACCTCATACGTCAGAGCCTACTTACCTTACCCCCTTGAGAAAACTCAATCCGTCAAAAAAACAGAAATATTCTTGGAAAAATATCCAACAAGATTCATCATTACATCAGCGTTGCGTCTTGCAGAACAACGGACAATACCGGAAACGCGTCATCAAATCAGAATCAACAACCTCAAACAACACCGTACCTTTCAACCTCTTGGTCAGCACATAATCACATAATCATTATTCGGAAAGCACATAGGCCCCAACCATTTAGGAATCAGCACATACCAAATCCTTCCCTCAATACAACATCCAGAAATACCCAGGACTGCAAAGACAGAATAACGTCCAAAAACCCAACACAAAAATGACGCTTGCAACTGTCGTTGCATTTACATCAGTAATTCTCAATACATCGCCCCCCCCGCTCCGTGGGATTTTAATAAAGCCACTAGAAAACGGGAGCAGACCATATATAGTGCAGACATCTGCCGTTATCCTAAGGCAATTCAACACCTTGTCAACGCCAAACATGAAAAGATCGTACTGCTACAAGGGGCATGACATATGATACTTGTATGCAGTACGCCAACACAAAAGAAACCGCCCTTCCTTGTGAACATAATGATAACACACATTCTACGACAGCCAGTCAATGATCTCATGCACCTCCATTCTGAGCCTCACTGACTTTAACCGCAGATCGCACGACACACGGTGTTCTTTCAATGTCCCAAAATACAAGTAACACAAACCTCCAAATATAAGTGCATGAAGCACGATAGTATCGCATCGCTACGATAGCCGACTAACGACTTCAGGCATCTCCATTCTGAACGTCGCTTGATCATCACCGCGCACGATACGACATGTTACGTTCCCCCGAAAAAAAACAACCCACACATGACAAGAAAGATAGCCGAAATCAAGCGGAAAAAATACAATCCCCACAACCGACCAGCCGAAATCACCATTCGGAAGCACGAGGGCACGAACCACGAGTACAATCACTACGACACGTCGGATCCTTCCTCCAAATAAATTATCCGACATCAACTAAACGATAGAGAGCGCACTCGCCTACACGACATCCGTGTTTCTACCGTTGGAGAAGTTTCTGCCGTTGGTGAAGAATCAAACAGAAAAACAAAACAATATGCAAACAGCCCGCCCCCCTGCTGTTGCACATAAAAGCAAGCTCGCAACGATTTGGGCACAATCGAAATGTAGCACCTGCTCCCCACACACCCGCACAAGACATCACTACGAAAGCCCAACCACTGAGCCCTTAGATCTCCTAAGCCTCACGTGATATTCTCATCGCGAATGCGCATCACACGCTGCTACCAAAAACCTTCAAGTCAACACGAATGTTGTTGTTGTTGTTGTTGTTGTTGTTGTTGTTGTTTTCTTAACATAAAAAAAAACCATCCCGGTCTCTCTATCCAGGACCTCTTTCCGTCTGAAAATCTCCGTACTAATCCAACACTTGACTCGGTCAATTTCCGTGGTCACAGGTTAACATACCTAGAAAAGGTATACCAAAATGAAATGGACCCCAAGCGTCAGCAGAGCGGTAAAATACAAGAACAAAATACAATCAGGAGCAAAAATATTTATTAGCCCTCTACACGCTATGTATGTGAGGTAAAATCAAAGAAAATAAAAGTGTCAAAAAAACAAAATAAAATAAAATAAAATAAAATAAAATAAAATAAAATAAAATAAAAGACGAGAACACCACCTCGCACAGGGGCCAGAATATCCACGAAGACAGTGTAAACGCGACGGCAAGGGGGGGGGGGGGGGAAAAAAAAAAAAAAAAAAAAAAAACTAATCAGCTTCAATCCACAACATGCCGTGCGACACGGTCGGCCTCTTCTCGTTTGCTCTCTTCCCTAGCTATTTCCTTCCGCCCCCCTCCCGCGCCATTGATTGGCGCCGAGTCTAGAGGAGGCCAGCCTGCAACACGAACATGCCGCTACAATTCTCCAAGTCACAACGAATATGCCGACGATATCGCTAGGCTTAGGCTAAAGGGCAAACAAAAAAAAAAAAAAACTCTTGCCCGTCTTCCGCTTCTTGGCGCCGCCCGTCTTACACTTGCCGGGAGGGGGGGGGGCTTCTGGGCCTTGGGGATGGGATGCTTCAGTAAAGCGTGCTCGATCGTGGAATCCTTCGTGCAGCAGGATTTCTTGTGGCAAACATTGATCGCCGAGAGGATTGTGAGCCACCTGATCAAAGCACTTCAGGTGTTCGCGATGGGGGGGGGGGGGGGGGGGTACTCATAGTCGTGCATGCCGTAGTCGTTAGACCATTGACCTCGCATCCCTACAAAGCCGGGACGGAGCACGCCGGGTTCTCACCGGACCAGGCTCTCACATCACCAAGCGCGAAGCGCCGCGAGGTATTTCGCGAGTCGCATGAAGGGTGAGCTGCATCCTGCTAAGGGTGTTCGGCATCTTGTGCTTACTCCTTGCGTACGGATGACAGCTACGTATGACTTAATATATTTTCTGGTGCTTTCACTTCCAGAGACAGTTGTAAGCACTGTGTAACTGCCTCGAGGAAGCTTGACCATTTTACACAACGTGGTGCGATCATCCCCCTTGCGCGGAGTGAGGTTTCTCGACCCCGCACAACATGATCTACTCGACCACCACTATGGTTACCGCCAAAAAAAAAAACGAGGTAAAAAAAAAAAGTAACAAAAAAAAGCGGTAACCTTGGTTGCCAAGTTCACGAAGTGAATTGGCTTGTTTTACAACGTCGTTGCCAAGCGACGAAAACCCAAACCCCGATGGCAAACACCGGGGGGGCGGCTTGTTTTACAACGTCGTTGCCAAGCGACGAAAACCCAACCCCGATGGCAAACACCGGGGGGGTTACGCTTCATTAATGTGTGATGGAGAAGGGTAGTAGACTGGGGGCTCTGAAACAAAGCAGTTGTCTGTACGTTACATGTGTTGGTAATTCAATGTCAGTCATTAGTATTTGGACTACTGTAAACACAGCACGTAGGTATCCACCTCAGGAGAATTATCGGATGATTTGGGAGAGACCATTGTCCGTTAGGATATTCTTGCGTTGTTCCTAGAGGTCGGATTAACCACCTGCTAGCGTGACCGGGATATTGCAATGTCCCGTGTGTGTGCATCTTTCCGTGATAGCTTGGACGCTCGCCCCCCGTGGTGCTCGCCCCCACTCGATCACTCCTCTCTCTTTCCTCTTTCCTTACCTTTTGGCCAACTAAGCGCCACTTTCAACCATCAATCTGGTATTTCAACAAGTGTACTTAACAGTCACTCTGTGAGCCTTTGCACACTGTCTCTACACAGTGCTTGCCACATCCAGGGATACACCTACCACAAGGTTACTTCCCAACAACATATTCGCCCAACCCGTTGCTCACCTTCCGGCGGTCGACATGGTGCAGCCGGGAACCAACGGGGCAGTAACCTTCTTCGTGACCTTCTGACCATCTGCCCCCTTCGTCCTCGACGTAGAGCCGTCCATAATCGCGGTGAGCTGGGCACGACCAGCAGTGCGGGTTCCTTGAAGATCGTCGTAGCACTCCTTCCAGCACCGCATGCTCTCGATCGACACCTTGCCGTAGGTCATCCTGCTGCCGCCGTCTTTCCTCAACGCGGACACACTGGAGGCAAACTTGCGCAGTGGGGGGTCGTCGTCGTCGTCGTCATCGTCGTCGCCGCCGCCCTCGCCGCGGCACTCCTCCTCCATGTTGGCGTCTGCCCCTGCGAGTTGGAGAATCAATGCAAGTTGGAGAACAATATAG